CAGTCTAGACCTGCTCTATATGATAATGTCTTGGGATAATCTCTGTTATGATTTGAAACTAAATGAATTCAATTGAATACAGTTGAAAGCTAAAGAAAAAGCTCTTCAGTGGATCTTGAGTTGGGATTCTTCTTCAGATGTGCTCCTGGGTTGTAACAAATGGGAATAGTTCAAACAACTGCAAAATGGCAATCGATTTTTTTGCCACTTGAGGCGAAACGACCAGCAGACACAACACTGACATATTATCACCTGATAAAGTTGTTATGACGAATGTAAGTTATATAATAATATTTGTTTTTATAGGAAAGTAGCTTTCAAGGTATTCAAAATGCAGGTACTTCCATCATAAATCAAACAAATATTTCATTTGAGTAGACGAATATCACAAATCATAAATTTGCCTCAGAGGGCTTTACAATCTTATAGCATATACCGGCCTCTGTCCTTAGACCCTGGCATTGGATAAAGAAAGAGTTCCCCCAAACAAACCTTAAACAGGGGGAGGGAAGAGACCTCAGGGAGAGCAACAGAGGAGGGATCCCTCTTCCAAGATGGGCTGAAGTGCAATAGATGTCATGTGTACAGAATGAACATCAAAAAAAATGACAACATAGTCAATATTGAATCAAAATACTCAATAAGACGTGATGTTCAGAGCAGCTCCATCCTAACATGTACTAACGCGTGCTTGTTCTCTTAACACTGTAGGTCTGAGGAGTAGAGACAGAAATCTCCACCTTGTCTGTGACGCACTGAGGCCATTTAAGGCTCAACATTGGCCAGGAGGGGAAATGGCCAATCAGTGATTAGAAAAGAAGCAGTGTGGAGAATGAGGAGGGGGAAGGGGGCTGACACTGTATCCAGCTAATAAGAAAATGAGCCTCTGCCATTTTGACTGTAGAAGAAACAAGGAGAAAGAAATGTGGTGGCCTCACCTCCTGCCAATTACTCAAGGAAATGTTTTGCCAGGGAGAGAAAAGGTCAGACTCCCAGCACTGTAAATCTGACACCCCCTCATTCTTTCCACCACAACACCAACAGCAGCCATGAGAGACATCGAAAAACGGTTTACCCACCGCACCAATTTGAAGAGGGACCGAATTTTCAGCTCGACAATCTTGGATGTCCAGCCTAATGGACTGATAATACACAAGAGGAGGTGGAATGAATACTCAGCAACCGACATTTCTAACCACACAAAAATACTGAATTGGCAGTAAAACATGAGAGCAGCAAAACCGTTCATGAATGCATGAGTGTCTGAATTATTCGTCCACTTCAATGCAAAATGCAGATTCACAATTTGAAAAGAGTCGGATCCCAATGCCCTGAAGCAGGAAAATAACCTGCTTTCAACTCTTGATGATATAATAACAGCACTTGAATATGATATTATACAACAGCAAAAGTTCAGGTTTTCATAAGCAGTTTATGCTGTGAATTGGGTCAGATGTATTCAAATTGAATATTTTGACATATTTTGCGCTTGCATTATCGACCATAAAAAATACCTGATTTTACCAATGTAGGCCTAAATGTTTCAGTAACATCTAGCTGAAATAAAATGTGTGTTTTCTCCAACCCTGTCGCCTACAAATGCCACATAATCAGAGAAGTGGACGACGTCACACTTTGAGAAACAGACAGGAAGTTGCTGATATTCTTGCATGTCATTGTTGCTAAAACAATAGCCCTGTTTTAAGCTAAGTGACAATGCATTTTTGAGAAAAGCAAGTGAGTTTTTAATTGTTAATTTCATTTCAAAAGTATTGAAGTATTGCAGTGAATTTTCTTCATAAAGGAGGTAAGGGCAATTTATTTGAAAAAAAATCTGAATCAACTAATTTGGAGATATGTGGTTTTCAGCAACGATTTGCACTTTTTCGGTATATTTAAAATAAAATCCCATGTGCACCGTAGGAACTATCACACTGATGAAAGGTTCCATGAAAAGTTATTTCATAATAATTCTGAGAGACAGATTGAGTCCTGTGGATACTGGTGTTTGTCTCCCTTTGAGTGATCACCGAATGGAAGTCATATTTTGCAGTCCAACACTAGTGTCAGAGTGACTGCAGCTGCAACCTCCTCCTGCTCCGACCACGTGACGGTGGGTGTGTGTCTAGGTTCAATTCCCCTCCAGACCTGCAGCTCAATTCTGCTGCTATAAAAAAAATGCAATGTTGTGATTGCAGCAGATGCCCAGAGAGGTGCTGCATGGGTCTGGACTGACATTCCCCCAGTGGAGACTAGGACACTGAAGGAGCACCGAGGTAAGAACAGACAGAGATCCATAACACTGATCCAAAATGAATCAGGAATCAGGACTTTTCTTAAAATGAAGGATGTTTTTTTACCCATCATTTTTCTATCTCTAAGTATAGTAAATTTCTGCAAAGCTAAAGACAGTCAAAAATAAAAAATATAAATTGTTAAATTTGGGTTAAAAAATGAATTTAAAAAGAATTTTAAAAAATGCATTAAAGAGCTTTTTTTGATCCATGGATATGGTCACATTTCTGCTCTATAAATTCACATACAGTAAGTCCACAGGCTTTGGCCTTGTGACCATGGGCCACATGCACAACATGCATGTAAATATGCATTTAAATATATATAGACGGTGCAGTCTTGTTTTCATCTATTATTAGAGCTGGGCAATATAAGGCCCGCTGCTCTCCCTAATGTACAAAAAGCTGGATGCACCAGAATTTGGCTCAGAATGACTTCAAGCTTTAGTGTAATCACGTTCTGTGTAATTTGACTGATCTGTGTAATTGGCTCTGACAGAATGACGTCTACTGATGTAAAAGCAGCCACATCTTTCTTATTCTTGCTGTGATGTAGACATGTGAAAGACAACATGTGGGCTCACCTAAACACACTTGTTGTTGTGTTTTTTACCGCTAATATAGGTAAATCAACAAGCAAATTAAATGTAAAACTTGAAAAATATTAAAATAATAGAATAGAAATTACTGGAATAATTTATCGACTTTGAATGGGAGCTAATTGAAGCAGAGAACGTAATGTTTAGAGTTTCGCCTGAGCGCGGCGGGGTGAGAGCGTGTGTGTGGTTGATAGTTTGAGGTTGGAGAACACAGCTCCATCTCCACTTTTCAGCAGTTGGAGGGAGTCGGAGCTGAGCGGTCTGTCAGCAGCGCCATCGGGCAGCGCTGAAAGGCAGCGGAGCGGAGCCGCAAACACACAAACGATGGCCGCTCATTCGCTCATGTCACCAACAGATATATAAGTCACACCGCCACCTGATTTATAGACGCGCCGCAGACTGTGCGCTTCATTTAGCCTCCTGCAAAAACCACAAGCGCATATTTCATCTGCAAATACTGCGCGCGGCCTACGCGTCAGTCATCCACCACCGCGAGGCTGCATGTCTGCAGGACGATGGCTGCACACACATACACACACACACACACACACACACACAGTTTTCTTTAATATTATTTTTAAGTGCTTTTACATTGAAGAGAGAAGGATGATCTAAACGAAGTGATAATGAGCCTTCACTGCGTGAATCTACCAGTCATTTCCTCAGGCCTAAATCAAACCGTTCTTCAAGTTGTTATGATCATGTTGACCACCTGCAGTTTGAAAAAAAAAACACGTCAGCTATTATAACCAGAATAATTCAAAAAGCAACAACCGATCAAAATATAAAAGTTAAATCGTAATGATCGTTAATATGACACCACTGGTTTGGGGAACTTCCTACATATGTTGCTTGAAGAGCACAATAAAACATATAGGGAACAGAGAACTGTGAAGAATGAGAAGACTGCGAAAAAAGTTCCAAACAAAACGGGCACAATTTCTGACACGTGAAAACCTATTTCAAATATAAAGCTCCGTATTTGAGTGTGTTGCTCTGAGACGCGGTACAATGCGCCTCCATCATCACATGAAGTCCTGTTTACAGGGATGGAGGAAGCAGCACTCTTGTTCAGTGGGATTGCTCCTAAATGAGTCACTGAACTCGTTATTGCACAATAAGAGTGCTTTTAATTATATGTGCTTTTAATGTGGTCACTCATTTGTTGTGGGTGGCCGTTGTATTGATCTCTTTGTGTTGTTTGTGTTTATGCTTCCATCTGGCCATGTTAATTGATAGATCATTTTACGAGACAATTTTTTGGCTAAAAGAAGGCAATTTCTTTTTACAGATGTTTTCGAATAATATATTGTTACTATAGGCTATTTAATATTAAACCTCAACTGTTATGTTTTATTGAAATATATTGCTGATCAAGTAATATCGACAACTTTGACGGATAACAGTGTTTTTGGGGTTAAATCATTCACGGTAAAATAGTCAGATCCTGGTGGAATATCTGTGATGTCATCCTTTGCTGAGGTTGATGAAGGCTGGAGTTATCTTTTTAAATGACTCACTGAGGTCAAATGTTTATTCTGTTTTCATAATTGCTGTATGGTTTTGTGGGTTGTGGCCACGTGTTTGCCACTTTAAAGCAGCGTGTCAGCATCAAGTCAGATGAATGAAAGTGTTAAAGGTGGAGGCTTAGTCCACCCTGCTGACCTGAAGGAACGACGTGGAGGTGGCTCACCTCATCGCGGCTGAATGTGGACGGGTCCATGTTGGCAATTTTAGTAAAGATGACCAAATAATCCTGGTCCCCAAATTAAGATAATGTGGAAAATGATTAAATATTAAATAAAAAGTGCATGTTGGCTGAGAGAAACAGGGGGACACATCACTCCCCCCATGCAACTGTGTGTGTGTGTGTGTGGGGGGGGGGTGATTCCAAAATAAAACACAGCATGTTCCCCCCTTCAGAGCCCAGAGAGTGCACTGCACAGGCGCAGAACGCAGCTCGGTGCTGGAGAAGCTGAAAGGCACTAAGGCAGCCGAACCGAACGACGCGCTGACACTTCCCAGCGGACAGCCGCCGCTGCAGCCTCCAGACTCCCGCTAGAGAACAGGCGTTTTCTAAAGCCCGTGCAAACCGCTGTGTGGGAAGAGGAACACCCCGCTGTTAGCAGGCTGAGGACAGGGCTGCGGTGAACAGGGATGGATTTAAGCAGATGATAGCTGACTGCATGAGGTACAGTAGAGACGCGCCTGGGCTTCTGATAGCTGCGCTGTAGTTTCATTATCTGCTGATCATCTGCTGGCTTGTAAACATGGCGGGTGTGATAAAGAGACGGCACCACTGGACAAGAGGGATATAAAATAGAATACCTTGTCATCCGAGTGAAACAAGCGATGATTAGTGCACTGAACACCCACGGCTCGACAATCTGATATGGAAGATTTGAATCTGACAGTTATGGGCAGAAAGCGGCGGAGGAGCAGAGCAGGAGTGAAATAGGCTGAAGTGGACCAGCAAATTAGACTCATACCGAGGCTGTCTTTCTTTCTGTTTTCTGGACATTTCTTATTGCGTTTTGTTCTTTTTTGTTACACATTAGGCCTGCATTCGTGTTGTCATGTAATACCATAATTACATGTAAAAAATAGTGTTCTTATTTACAGATGAAACCTATTTTTTATGATAATAACACTTTATTTTCACCACATTATTATTATTATTATTATTAGTAGTAGTAGTAGTAGTAGTAGTATGAGTAATAGTTGTTGTTGTTAATGTATGCTTAAATATTGGCAAATATTAGCAGATGGAAATTTGAACTTAATTAAATAATACTAATATCAAAAAGAAGGAGAAAAAAAAGTATTTTTTGTGTAGAGGATGTAAGGGTTCGTAATTCCCCTAAAGTAGCCCTCTGAGACATTGGGTATTCGGCCTATTCATTGTTTCTATGGAGCAAGATTGTAAAGCCACGCGTGATGGGCACTGAGGTCACTGGGAGTTTCTGAGAGTGGCCATTCTTTGAAAAAAACATTTCAATGTAGTTATATGAAATGCCAGACCTCGGTTTTAATCTATGGCAATTTTCCAAAAAAGTAATTTCTGTTCCAGCCGGCTGTAGTGAATTTAAAGTGAATTGTAATTAAATACCGTCAGGCTGTGCAGTTGATAAGATATGTTGGAACATGTTTTTTTAATGAGCTTTATTAATGTATTCATCATTTAATATTTTTAGTTGTCTACACTGAGGAGCCTCTCCTGTTTATGCCCAGGCCTTTATAGAGCTGCAGACACAAAATGGCGGCAGATTGAAATTTATTACAGCTGTCTCAGTTAACACGTCTCACACACACACATTTATTTTGCAGCTTATCAGGATTTGTTTGGTTGCATTTGTCATTGTAAGGTCTGCGCTTTACTTTCTGCAGCCTCCTTGAGAGGACGTAAATAATGTGGTCAGTACCGAGTGTGATGTAGCTACAGACCACGTGACTTCCACCAATGTGTAAAATAACAGGGAGCTTTAAGTAAAACGTGCATTCAAATGTTCAGTCAACATATTAAACAGCACTTTAGAACAGAACTTAAGTTTTCAACTATTTCTTTTTACGTTGTTAACAGGGAATGAAACGGCAGCTGTGTGAAGGGACATGTTTTCAGACGGAGTGACAGAAACAGAATCAGGGTTCTGGATCGGGCTGCTCAGTTAAACAGCACCAGTGAAAGTCGCAGTTTCACACTGTAAAAAAGGCTCTGTGGTCACTTCCCTGTCAGCCCTTATCTTTATTAGTGTTCACAAATGTCTCCATCGGTTTACAGTGCACACTGCCTCTCCACTTCCATGGCTAGGAGAGTGGCCGCTCTGTGTTTACAGGCCCACATGCAGCCTGAGGAGTGAACAGCTTTTAGGGGCAAGCAACAGGTTCCACTATTGTTGACTCATTTCTTCAAAAAGATTGGTATAATTTAGAACACCATTGAGCTATAGGAGAGTGATGAGCACTTATATATACTTACTATAGCCTGAATATGAACTATGTCCATGTGAAGCAGAGAAATTCTTATAAATTCATGCCAGACAAGAGCATTTTTTTACCAGTAAATGTTTGGGAAATGTAGTTCCAGCCTTAGCACTCAGAAAACAGTGTTTTCAGTCTGGAGCCGGGTGACACCCTGGAGAGTCTGAGGCAGACGTGAAGCTCGGAGCAGCAGCAGCAGCAGCCGGATGAGACAGACGTGGGGTTATGAAGTCGTGTGAAAGACAATCTGCAGTGGTTCTGAAGGTGTGAGAGACAGGAGGACCTATGGCTGTCAACATAATGACAAGGATAAATACATCCTCCATTTCTACTTGCACTATGGTAGTTTCACCAGATCTTTTAACTACTTTTGGTCCTTTCCTGTTCAAAAATCTCAACCATATAGTTTGGAACTGCTTTGAATCCCTACCCTGCGTGTTTAATTCAAATTCAACCCTAGCCTTAACCCACATGACTTCTCACATCGAATTCTACTTTTAGTTAACACTGTTGTGTTTGCAGGAAGTGTCATTTACTGATGAGACTTCTTCAGACGTCGAGTTACCAATCTTAGATGTTAACTTGCTGATTACCCGTCGTGGTCATGGAGCTACATGAGAGAGGAGTAGTGCTGGGACTCTAGATACTGGATGAGAACGTACAGCTCAGTAAATTGATAAAAGGATTTTGTGACCTCTTCATGCCTAAGAGGAGCACATGAGTAAATGTGTGAAGTTTGCCCAATTGCATGATGGGATGCAATGAAGGGTGTCCACAATGAAACAGAGTTAACCTTTTGACCTCGATGCTGAAGGACTAAATAGTTCATGATATTATTCTGCAGACCCTAAAACAGATCAAATCTAAATAGTGACTTTGTATTGTCTTTATTTATACTGATTATATCTAAAATAGTGGAAATCAGATTAGTGATTTTGTATTGTTCATATCTTAATCTGTGTGAATTAATTCTGTCCATATTGAATCTAACTACTGCAACATAAAATATAGTCAGAGCAGTGGGAGACAAATAGTGTAAGCAGCAAGATTTCAATTATTAGAGGTCGCAATTTACAGACCATGTCGTCAATAACCATGATATTTTAGATCAAATATTGATATCATGTTTATAATACACAAATAATCCAGTGCCTCTTAAATCATTTTATATACAGTTATGGTTACAGACTCTTTCTCCACCGCCCTACAGTCATGTTTTGAGTGTAATTTATTTAAAACACACAATACACAAAGTGAAAGATTAATTTGACTGAAAGCAATATTATCATCATTATTATCAAATTTTGTTTGTTTTGTTTAAAAAATATATTATTATTTGAATTCTATTGTCCTATTGTGAACATCTGATATTGTGACCGCCCTATTTCAAAACTTGGTCTTCAATCCAACATTCTACATCCAACAATATAAGCGCCTATAAATACTACTTGGCTCAAGTCAGAATCAGACTTTTTTCCACCGTCAAGCAACTCCGCAGCAACTGGTGGCTGGACGTCCAATCCAAACAAATGACCTGTATTTGTACTGTACTTGTATTACAAACATACTGTATGCTGATGGAGCTGAGACCAGAGAAACATATTTTGCAGGATTTTATGTCCACATTTGACACTCAAGTATTTTTTAATTCTTCAGTTTATGAATGCAATTCAAGTAAAACATATGTGACACTACAATATAATATTAGATATTTCAACTTACATTCAAAAACCTGTTGAAAATGTGTGAAAATACCGTATTCTGCTGGGCTGCAACATCCACATTTTACATCTATATTATTTACATTTACATTAAGCAGAGAATGTAATGCAACTAGCTGTTGCTTTCATATAAATACTAAATAAATTATAAGATTAAAAAATGTCTGTGGAAGAGGCAGAACTATGAGCTGGTTCATAGATTCACCATCACCAAGCAGGAGGGAAATGTGTTAATGATCAAATATTTGAAGGATTGAATGATTGAATGAACATTTGTCTTTAAAAAAGAAAAGAAGACAAATACAGAGAAATCATCGAAATACATTTTTCACAGGCAAGTCAACAACACAATTCCTGTCAACCCTGCTGATACAATGCTTTTTAGGCAAAGATGTTTTTTATTATTACGTAATACATTACGTCATTATTACATAGTTACATAATTTATCATTTTGCCTGTATTCCCCATAACAACTCATTTCCTGTTGCAATGAATGTAGATGAGTATTTGGTAAGTTAGAGTCCAATAGCTCATGCGTACTCTGCTGGCCCGAGGCCATCAGCCCCTCACGCTCATTGGAAAAGGGCAGTGCAGCAACATAGTGAGGCGAGCACTACACACACATGTAGAAGTCTACAGGCTCTACTGAATACATGTGTTTGAGCTGAACTTGGCACAGACTAATGGTGCATTTCTACAGTTGCTATGATAGGAGGAGATTCATAGTCTGCATTATATGTTCTCTCTGCTTTCACAGCTACTCACAGATAACTCTAACAGCTGAGTATTTTTCTGATCCTGCAGAGATGCTGCAGGAGAAGCTTTCGGCTGTGACGGATGAATGTATGAGCCGGGTCCAGTCCGGTGGGGAGACAGATCTCCTTCCAGACCAGTCACGACTGGGTCTCTCCACAGCCCCCACCAATCCCAGCTCCAGTGAGCCCGACCAGGTACACATGGAGACCCTTGGGTCCACATGGCTGCAGCTTGTAGACCGTAATATGGAGGGACGATACTCCAGATAGAACTTCATTTAAATGGAATGACATGCGGAAAGGGTAACTGGTGTATCATACCAACCCAAAGCCAGCTCTTTGATGAATCCTTTTAAGGTGTCAAAACAGATGAAATACTTCTATCAATAAGTTGCAGTAAAAAAGATGGAGTGGATATTACATTTGACATATACTGCAGATGATTGTATATGTTGCTCTGTAGTGTATTTATATACACTAATATTTAAATGACACTGTGTTTTTTGATACATTATTTATATTAGGTTGTGGTGATGAGATTTGGCTAGTGTGTGAGTGTAACAGTGATTCCCGCTCTCTTCCAGAACATTGAGAACATTAAGGTTGCTCTTCATGAGAGGGAGCTGTGGAAGAAGTTCCATGAGGCCGGCACAGAGATGATCATTACTAAAGCAGGCAGGTCAGTAAAGCAGCGAACACACCATCCATCAGTCACAGTGCAGTCCAGGCCCAACGATGGGACAATGATTAGTTAGTTAAAAAAAAAGAGAAACATGTTTCTAATGCACCACAAAAAGTAAGATCACATAGAGATGTATATGTGCTTTTCTATTAATTCCATTATTAGAAATGACTTTACCAATCAGAAGTATTCAGATCTTTCACGTTAGTAAAAACTGTAAAAGATACTGTCAAATCCTTTATAAGAAGCAATGGTAAAAGTATTGGTTGTGCACGATTTGTTGAGTGTTCTTCCATTATATATTTCATATTTATTTCATTTTTAGGTTTTTATTGTAGATGTTAATATGTTAATGTTTTAAGTATTTCATGTACTGTGTAGTTTAATTACTGGTTATATTAATTACTACAATGAATAACTTTATAAGATGATCATATGTTTAGTATCAATATGCAACGTGTGCCATGGTGCCATGCTTATTCACACAGACACACACACACACACACACACACACACACACACACACACACGCACACACCGATGGTACGGCCTTCGGTAGCAATTTGGAGTTCAGTGTCTTGCCCAAAGACACTTCGACATGGAGGAGCCGAGGACCGATCTACCCATGTTGCATATGTTATTAGTCACATTGTTGTACCAAAAGCTGCTCATATTCTTCATAAGTTTGTGGAAAATTAGAAAGAAAGTGATATTTAAGTGATTGATTTATTACACAAAAAGAGTCTCAGCTTTCTGTGGTAACAGTAACGTATAGCAGTTCTAACTTTTACTTACAGAAAGAGACAGAAAGTTCCTGCAGCAGCGACTACATAATTGAAAACACAAATGACTGCTCGGCTTGTTGGATTTAATGCGTCCTGAGGATTAGATAGTGAGGCCTTTGGACATTAACCAGAGAATGAGTACATTCTCCGCCTCTCATTCCTCATGGGATCTTTTTTTTTCCAGTAAAAAAATGTAAAAGGTCACCACACTTTTTCCTTAATGCTACATAACCATAAGAGATGGGCTTTCCCTTGTCCAGCTGATAAAGTGGGCTCTGAATCCTTAAAGCCCTTTGAAGGGCTGTGCAGTGGTTCAGCTGTGCAGCTGTGCTGGGAAACCTGTCTGGGTTTACCTCCAGTACTGTTAGTCTGCAGCAGACAAATATGGGCTCTGTCCTCCAGAAGCAGAAGCTCTGAAGATGAACTCGCATTAAATGATATCAACACCAGATTGAATTATTCAAGTATGTTATGAATAGTGCATTCAAGCTTTGTTGGCATGGCAGAACGCACTTGTTCATGTTGAAATGTGAATGTTGTAGTCGCCCAGTAAAACACAGTGACGTTGCATTAAATCTGACATTTGAGCAGATACTTCTGTCAATCATTACATTACAGTCATTTAGCAGACGCTTTTATCCAAAGCGACTTACAATTCAGATTCTATCACATTCATACTGTAGGCTCAGCTACGGGAGACATTTATATATATTTATATATATATATTTATATATATATATATATATATATATATATATATATATATATATATAT